TGGACATAAGATTTGCTAAACCTTTTTAATTCATGAGCTAAGCCAAATTTTTAAAGTTTCCTGGATATAAATTCTTGGCCCCCAAAATGAACATTACTATGAGTGTGAGACAGAAATTTCACTTGAAATGTTTAACTGCTAACTAGTGAACAGTAACCACTCACAACTGATCTCCAGACAATCAGGAAAACAAAAACAAAAACAAGAACAACTCAGCTCTGCTGTGAGTACCTTACGTAAAAGATGAAGGTAATTTGACTGTTAGGGCAGTCACAAAAAATGCAATATAATTATAGACCCTCTGAATGCCATTTTTTTTCAGCCATTTTAGTCTGCTACACTCAAGTCCTAAAAATGACAAGTAGCGTGATAAAAATCAGAATCAATGTACATACAACACTGAATTTCTTTAACATAAATAAAATCACCTATGGAAACTATGAAAATATTGAACCTATAACCCCTTCTTCAAAGATTATTTATCACTAAGCTCAGAACTGAACCTGGTAGACTAAAATTTTAGTAAGGTTTCCTGATTTTTCTGAGGTCATTGGCTCTATGTTATGCAACACACTTGAAAAACATTGTTCTAAATTGCATTCCACTTATGGAAAAACACCCTAGTTCTTTGTAAGTAATTGGAATAAATAAGAAAATCAACAACCATAAAGACATAGAAGGGTAGTAGTGAACTCTCTGCTGCAAGGCTTCTGTTTATGAGGAATTAGGGTAGATTAGGGTGATCTTCTAATGACATGTAATTCCAAAGTAGACAAGCCAACAAAGCCAAAAGAGACAGGTGTGTGGAAAAAGATAAAGACACAGAAGAGCGTTTCTTGAGGATATTTAGCTTAAAACAAGGGACTATCAAAAATAAAAGAGATACATTGGCTAAAGAGATAAGTTTAATAGTTTCATCTTTGGCTATGTATCTAATAGAATTGTTTCCCTTACCTATCATTGTCAAACCCTACCCAACAAAGGCTGCATACAACTTGAGATATTAAAAATAGTGGCTGAAGTAAAACAAGCAGTGAAGGTAAGCAACCAACGATTGATGTAGTACATGTGCTATGCTTGGATTGTTATAGCCTGTGATTGAAGAGAGTGATGTCAAGAAAATAGTTGTGAACTTAAGGTCAGAAACCTTTTTGTGCCCCGTTTTCATTAGAACTTATTTTCAATAGCTTCCTATAGAACCTTGGGCCACTTACCTTACCCCTTTGACTCTTAGTTCCTCATCTTTAAAAGAAAGGGGGTAGCCAGGCTGGTGTGGCTTAGTGGATTGAGTGCTGGCCTGCGAACCAAAGGGTCACAGTTCAATTCCTAGTCTAAGGCACCTGCCTGGTTTGCCGGCTAGGTCCCCAGTAGGGGGCGCTTGAGAAGCAACCACATAGTGATGTTTCTCGCCCTCTCTTTCTCCCTTCCCCTCTTTAAAAAGAAATACATTTTTAAAAAATCCTTAAAAAATAAATAAAAAATAAAAGAAAGGGGGTAAACTGAAAAAAAAAACTTTAGCTGTAACATAATTTCCCTCTAAGACATAAAGCAAAACTTAATTTTAATCAATTGTTAAAGAGCAAGACACATCTAAAGAGATTTCTCATCTGTCCTTGTATTATCACTACCAGAGTAAAATTTAAAAGAACCAGTTACTTCTTACAGTGCAGCTTAAATTAGCTAATATAATTTGAAGGCTTTTATTCCAACTTTTAAATTTTATTTTTAACATCTAGTTCAGATACTAGCAAACCTCTTGTTCCCTGTAGTGAGGCCTCACCGTATCTTTGACCATACGGGAATCATTTGAGGAACACCAGAAAGTCCAACCTGGACAAAATTACTTCCCAAATATTACCAGGAGTACCCATCCTTTGAGTCGTTCTTACAGATTAAAGCAATAAAATAATGTCTTTTTCACAATCACAAACATTCTCTAGAAGAGAAGAGAGAGAATATTTGAGTTTGGCTCCTATTAACCAAAAAGTATCAGCAATATCATGGTATGATTCAGAGTCAGATCTAGGTTTTGAAGGGCTTGAAACTTTGTATAATTTTGGGGCCTATTATAGTAAAAGGGAAAAAATAATAATATAAAAGTTCATTCTAAAGGGAATTTTTACTTAGGGTAGAAAAAGAAATCAAACCAATTTACAGGAGTTTTAGAGATTCAGGTCTCTTTCCTGCGAGACCTCTTTAAACAATGCACTAGAAATAATTATAAGGAAATTTTTTATTTTAATTCAGCCTGACTCTCACTGCCCTTCTACAACACTTTAAAGTGTTCAGCGACTGCCAGCACTCACAGGGCCTTGTGTAAGTAAGGGTATTAGTTTAACAAGCTTAAGTTTAATAAGTATCATGGTAAATAATGTATTATTAAATCATCAGCTTAACAGGCAGACAAGGAACAAAAATATTACAAGATCAGTGTTGAGACCACATAGAGAGAGCAGAAGCTGATGCTAGGGACTGCTTTTGGTAGCTACTGAGTATGATGCCTAGGAATCTTTTTATGAAGGCTTGTAAGTGAGAGGGCATTAAAGATAAACTTCTCAATATTGGCTACCTCAGCGAGGTATCACTAGCAGGCCAAATCCTGCTATTCAGGATGGACATAGGAAAAAAAAAGATTTGGAAATGAAAGAAAAGAAGTTGCAAATTGTGGGGGAAGGACAGGAGGAAGGTATAAAGAAAAGTAGTAGAAGAGAAAACTGTTACTGGGAAAGAGATAGAAAAGAAGTAATTCACCATTTTTTTTCAGTGATATAATAATACTAATCATCAGTTCATTTGCTATATATCAGGCTCTTGACACGCAGTGGACATAAGACTGGGAAGAAACCAAGGGAATTAGCCTGTTAGAACAGGGCATTACATTAATGGTAATTCTCTTCTCTTCCCTCAGTTTATAGTTTAGAAAAATGAAACATAGAGGTCATTGATGTGTCAGAGATGGTAACATAGCACAGCCAGGTCCAGAAGCCCAATCTCTCTAATAAAAATATCAATGACTTTTTTTATGATTGCTTTACAGAAAACTAGGGGAGAAAAAAAGTAAAGATAATCTTCTTATCCTCAGTGAACTTAAAACACTTTTCATCTAAAGTTGCTCCCCAGCTTCCCTCAAGACCTATCTCACATCAATAATAAATAAAAATAATGAGCACATAAAAGTTGTCTTTGTCAAAGGTAACTTTTTTCTGCCTTTGCACACCCAATGCATCTTGCCTGAATATCTTCTAGCATTCATCTTACTCTGTTTGGATCTCTTCCTCTCCTCAGCTCTCTATTCCCACAGGCATACACAAAAGAATTACATACAGTGCTGTACATGCACACAGACCTGTATGTGCAAATATGTCCGAGAACACAGTCACTCCCAAGCACACACACAAGCTCCTCAAAGAAGCTTCTGTGCTAAATCATAACTGTGTTACCTGTAGTGCTTTACAATAGGGATTTCCTAAAATTTATTTTTGGGAGGAAATTAGCTCAAAGGCTTCCTGAGGGCACTGGCATGGGAATTCACCAGGACTCAGCTAATTCACTGTTTTTGATAACTGAAAGCCTTAACCAAGCTCATGGCTTCAAAAGCCATCTCTAAATGCTGACACTTCATAAATATCACCTGACCGGAACTCATCTTGAGCTTTCTTTTCTTGTTCATGATCTGGTCAAAATCTTACTTCTAAATATTTTATAGGTATCAAACTAAATACTCCTAAAATAAAAGTCCTCAACTTTCCTACTATATCTGCGTTCTTTTTCTTTAATTAACATGATCCAACCCCTCCCTACCCCAACCCCACTCAAGCTAGAAACCTTAGTGTTACTTTCAGAGAAGCCCATGCCTTTATCCTCAACACTCCCATTATATGCCAAGTTCAATTCCTTCATGGTTTTTTCCAATTAGTGTCTTTTCTCAATTATTTACTACTATACTTTAAATTCTGGCCTTTATTTTTTTTAATTTAATTTTATTTTTTAAATGTATTTACTTTTTAAATTCTGGCCTTTATTACTACTACCTCACATTATTGAAATTATGTAACTAATTTACCAGTCTCTGCTCTAATTCTAGTATGTATATCTCAGCAAAATGTCAGTCCCTTATTCAAAAGCCCAGTCCTCCAGATGACTTACAGATTAAAGTTTGACTTACTCTGACAATCAAGACCAACTATTTTTTGGACTCCATTTCTATTTCCAAATTTGTCTAGTGTCATTTTCTTTCACATACCAATATGCCAGAAAAATTGATTTTCCTATATCTGGTGGTTTCCTACCATTCCATTTACTTTTTCCTACCATTCCATTTACTTTTTCTATCTTTTCCCGACTTTCACTAATACTAACCATTTTTATAATCCCCTCAGATGCACTTAATACTTTAAGGATCCCTCATTCACAGCACTCATCATTTTCAATCTTGCATTATAATTATTTTAATCTATAGCTCTTTTCCCATACTTAAGTATAGTGTATATCATTTCTTTCTTTAAGAATACACTGGTCAAGTGCTTGAGAGCTGAGTCCATGGATAATATATCTTTGTAATGCCCACAGTGCCTAACAAAATGCTTGCATATTATAGATATTCAATAAATATATTAACTTAATAAGTAAGTATTCACTTATTTGTCAATGATAAAGTTCTGGTACCTTTACTTATTTTTTTAAATCAACAATTATTTACCATGAGAAATATTTGTAGTTATTCCTTTGGAATATAATCAGTACCTAAACTACCAGTGTTAATTTACAAATAATTATTACTTTACTAAGTACTGAACATACATGCAATCTAATCATTAAGGTTAGACAGTCATCATAATGACTGAGTTTAAGTGCATTTTTTTTAGTGCATCACAAATTTAGCAATTCTTAAACAGACATTAACAACCAAACCACAGTGCTTTTCAATGTAACCATCCCCAGGACTGAAAAGAAATTGTGACATTCATTTTATGCTTAAAAGACTGTTCTTTATTTCCCAGGTGTGATGGGAGAATACGAGCCGAAAATTGAGGTCCATTTTCCTTTCACAGTTACAGCTGCTAAGGGAACAACCATTAAGATGGAGTGCTTTGCACTTGGCAAGTAAGTACAGATTCTTCCATAATTACATGCAATTGTTTATTAAAATGCAACATATCTTATTTTTAAATCACTTATTTGCTAGGTTTCATTTTCCCAGAAGATCCTTGGTTGGACAAAGTAACCAATTATAATTATTTTTCTAGTCAGTTCTATGAACGAAAGTGTATATATTTTTGCTATTTTAACACAGAGGAAACTTCTTTAAATAAAAAAGAGTTTTACGTCTCTGCCAATGTGTCTTAAGTTTCAGTATTATTCTTAAATTTTACTCAGCAGTGATGTAAATGAAAAAGGGTTAAAAAAATTAAGGTGACATCCGCTACTCATATATAGCATATAGATTTTGATAAGATATAAAAAGACAACAGTATAAAGTCATAAAGACAATACTTACAGTGAGCTGATTGCTCACTTTGGTATCTCCTAAAATAATGATAACATGATAGCACCAGCTGTCAATATGGACAACATGTAATCGTTTTCCAAATCAGAAAGATGATTTATATCACACTCTAATGCCTGCTACACTTAATGATTCTATTTCGGAGAGTTTAAATCCCATGATATATAATTAATTTTCAATGATGTTTACAATATGAGTATTGGGTATAGAGTCAGGAGTGGAATTTTGATTATATTTGATTAGAGTATTATGATTTATTTTAAACAGAGTGTTGTTGTTTGGTTTTTTTTAGGGTGATAAGACCTCAGGGTGCTTTCTAACTCTATAATTATAATTTGCATAACTGCATCTCTATCAGAGTTCCTAATCATTTAACTTTAGTTGTAGTGAGCTACTCTCACGGCATAACTATAAAGTACTTGGAGATAAAACATGCTACATAAAATATGCATAAATTACGTTTAGCCTGTGAGTGAGAAAAATATTAGCGAATATGAGGGATTTATCTAGTGAAAGGAGGTGTAAGGCATGACCATAGGAAACACCATGTTTTCTAATATCAAGACATTAAAATAACATATATGTACAATTCTATTTAAATCAAAGTAGAAGCAGGATCATCATAAACCAAAAAACAAAATAAATTGTTGTGTGGTCATTCTTTTAAGTAAAGATGCCTATAAATTGAAAAATATTTCAAGAACTTAAAGTTCATCAAGGAGATGTTTGGGCAGATAATCTGAGGAAGTCTTCCAAACACAAAGATATTCGTTAAATGCACATGGTTAAATAAGACCTAAAATTTTATTTTTATTATCTGTCCATGTTGTCCTATCAAGTATGCCTGGAAATGTCCAGAATAAGCAGCTTAATCCTGACAAATACAAAAATAATATATTTTGGTCTGATGACAAAGGTTAAATATAGACTGCAGTTAAATAATTCTTAAATGCTACTATTTGACAAAAGCCACAAATAAAGAGGGTGGGGGTCATATTGTAAAACAAATTAGAGAACTAAATTTATAGAGAAAAAAATAATGTGGGATATTTCCCCAGGCAGATTTATTTAATAAGCTAGATGTGTTTGCTTTTGGAAGTCTTGAAATATGCTTAGTAAATTGATGGCTGAAGTCCCTTTCATTCTAGGTAGAATTCAACAGTCATGCTATTTTAATACTGTATTTTCTTCAACTTCTCCACTCCTCCACTATTCCCTCTCCCCACACCTTCCCAAATAAACAAATAAAAGGGAGGATAAAGAAGACACACAGCTTGTCAAAATCTCTTATTCATTTAATATCCTTTTTCTGAAGTGTCACAACTATGATTTTTAAAAAAGTTTAGGAAGGGATATGCCACTACCTAAAGACTAACCTATCATTCTGATGAAAGTAAACAAGGTCAAAGAAATAACATCTTTACATATGTCAACTCATTTACAGCATATTGTCATATGGAGTAGATTCTTGCTGTATCCCAACATTATCACAGCAATTTCAAATTCACACCTGAATATCTGTTTGGTTCCCACAGCTCACCTGAGCTGCTTCCCACATTAACAAGTACATGATTCTCTGGTGGACCTTTGCCCAAGAACTTTATAATCACTAAGTATCAATCAGGCTGATTTGCCCTCTCAGTCTTTCCACATGTCTTTCCTCAGTGTTTCAACCAAGTGTTGCTCATAGAGTTCTATAACCAAATTATGGCATAGAGGATATCAAGCTCTTTGCTCTCATTGCTTTTGCACTTGCTGTTCCTTCTATTGAGAACATGCTTCCCTGTTCTTTCCATGCTGGCTCTTATTTACCCTCTAGCTTCGACTTAAATATCACCTTCTAAAGAGACCATCTTCTATGACTACTTTATCTAACTCTCACTGATTGTCCTCTACCTAAGTGCTTATATTTTTCTTCATAACTTTTAACCCAGTTTTAAATTATTTTACTTTTGTGTTTCTCTACTTTAAAACCTTTTTTAATCTGTATCAGTCAGGAATTCAGTTGGAAACTGGATCCGATTCAGGTGGTTCAAAAGATTTTAGTAAAGGCACATGTTGAAGATATTCCCGTAAACAGGACCAAGAGAAGAAGCTGAGGCATTAGTAGACTAATGATAGCAGGAACTCGTTCTCACACTTAAGCCAGAATGAGCAAGGGGAGGAGATAGTGTCATCAGAGTCAGTGACAGAAGATATGGAGTAGGACAGGAGCCACCCAACAAGAAGGAACTGTAGTTGCTGTATTCATGAGCGATATATTAAAAGAACATAGAATCTGGAAATACATATCCTGGCTTCTTTTTCCACATGCCTTCTGATCTTCTCTGATGGTTCTTATGGCTGAAGGCAACCATAAGCCAGCTTGGAAGCCAAGAGGATGCAATTGGCAGTATACAAAGCCAAGAAGAGGGTGTGGGGGAAGAGGAGAATGAACTCAGGAATACCACATCTGCTTAGTCCAATCAAGTCTTTATTACTAACAGATAATAAATAATGAATAATAGATTCTTTATGCATAAAGCATTTTGACTAACTCTCATTCTCTCTAACAAATGTGCCTACATCCACTCCATACCTCTATCTCTTGCCCACTCTTTTCCTATTTATGCCTAAACTAACGCTTGTATCCTTATCCATACCTTTTCCTGAAGTCTGGCCTCCACTCCAGCAGTGTGTCTCTTTTTTAGACCTACATTTTCTCTTCTTTCGATTTGCTTCTCAAAGCTTATTATAGCATTCTTAATATTAATACTTAATATTTACCAAAAACAATCTAAGCAACCTCTACATCTACTGACCCTTAGGAAGGGTTTGTTTGCTTAAAGTTAAACATTAGAGAGATTTATCATATTAAAATAATAGGATAAAGGTCAGAGTGAAAAATACATGTCACAGGACTGATATTTAATGCAGTAATGGCTTGAAGGACAAACAAGGGGAAGATCAAAACACAAAATCTTGCCGTCTTCCACCATTGTCTTCTCCAAGCCTTATGGGGGCAATCCAGCTTTTCTACTAGAAAACACCATTTTTAATCAAGTCATTCATTGAATCTTATGTTACTCCCTAGGTACAACTTCTCTCTCAAGGAAAAATAATTCATTCATTAACACAAAGTAGCCAAAAAGCAAGAGGTTGGCTTTGTGTAGCTCATTTGGTAAACGTATATGAGCTAAAGTATTTTCAAAGAACCTAAAAACTGAAATATGTCTGAAGGTTTTGAAAACCAACTATGTGCCAGGTAATGCACTAGCTTCCATGGATTTCCACAGTCTCCATTCTCAAAAAGACGCCATTCTATCTTCCTATATTTGCTGGATCCAGCACCACCTATGGAGACCAGTCTAAGTCATTGCATAAGCAGCAGCACACACCCTGACCAAGGTGTCCTCATCAGTCAACTTTTATCTCTAGAGAGACTGACTGCCCATCTTTCTTTTTCCAACTATAAACTGAGACTAAATGATGAAAGAGGTAGATTTTCTTCCTCTGAAAGTTCCTGACCCAGGGAAAACTGGGAAATATCATTGCATTGTTGCAGTCACCCTTTCCAACTGTCAGAATACTGTTCCACTGCTCACAAACAACATTTTTACTCTTCTTGAGAAGTACATTTACTTCTACAAAATCTGTCCCTAAAGGTGTTCAGTTCTTGTAATTTAGAGAATATAAATTGATGCAGCCATAGTGTCACACATAATTTTAAAAATATATAAGCTGATACGTTTTCTGTATTCTTAAGGGAAAATAGAAGACAAATGATTTTAGGTTATTGAAGTTTACTATCTCTTAATATCACAGTTTCGCCAACCTGCCTAATCTGATGTTAAGTAAAAAGTCAACATGAAAGCTATAAGTTACACATTTTCTTCTAAAGAAACCTCTACTTAAATCTCAGTTTAGTAAAATCCAAATGGTTTCTTTACAAGTTGCGGCCCCAGAATGCAAAAGAAGTAGACTGGTTATTGTTCTAGAAATCTCTCTGCAAATAGAGTTATACAATACAGATTACAGAATTTATGCGTGAAGTGACTGTGACATTCTGTTTCATATTGGTCAATTCTGCTAATGTATAATTTCCCCAGAAAAATGAGAAATGCTTAAAGAGGACCCATAGGGAAACAAAGGTCTGTAAAGCCTTGAGAAATAAATCAAAGTGTAAAAAACGGCAGGAGGATAAATTATTTTGGAAAGAAAAGGCTGTTTTAGACGTATGGAGGGTTATTATCAAGAGATGGTTCACAACCTGTTCTGCAGTTTCAACACAGTGGGGAGGGGGTGAAATTTCAACAGTATGGGGTTAAGCTAGCAGAATTAGACTGGCATACAGTAGAATTTCTTGACATAAAAAAAGAGTTGTTACAGGGAAAAAGGATTGTCAGCAGAGACAGTAGAATCTCCTTCCCCATACTGCGGTATGAATATAATAATATGCATTTGTCTTCTAATAATTTAGATGTAATATCTCCTGAAAGGAGAGAAATGGTCTGGGTCAAGGTTGGAAGTAAAAATTTAAAAATTATTTTTTGCTGACTGCTTGCTCATCTACTCACTAGGGCTGAAAATTGAGTAGAAGTCTGGAGTCAAGCCTATT